CCCCCCCCCCCCCCCCCCCCCCCCCCGCCACCTCTCTGACCCCACCACATTTATCCCTGGGTGAGGAAAGAGCCCTTCGCTGGGTATCAGAGGTCAGCAACATGCTGTAGGACCTCAGGCCTCAGTTTTCTTCTCTGTAAAGATTACTCAGTCACTCAACAAACATGCGTTAGTACTTGCTTGCTGTAGGTGGTGCTCAACAGTCATTTCTTCATTAATCCTTCTCCCAATCAGGGGAGGCGGGGGTGGCTGTCCCTCCATTTGACATGAGAAAACAGGCTCAGAGGGGGGACTGGGGACAGCAGGCACGGCCTGGCACTCGTCTGTGGGGCCTCTGGGGCTTCTTTTTTACGGTTGCCCTGCTTCCAGGCTGGTCTTGACCTTGTTTCCCCTTTGCCCTTGCCCTTTGTCCTGCATTTCCTCTTTCCTGCCGAGTGCTGGTCCTGCCTCTTGTGCCAGCGGTGTTTATTGGAAGCTGACTTCCCTAGTCAGAAGACTGGGAAGGATAGGGTGACCCAGCGGGGTGGGGCGGGCAGGGCGGGGCGGGGGGGGGGGGCGGGGGTGGGGATGGTCCCTGAGCTGGGCCTCTGGCGTTCTGCCTGCAGATTGCCTCAGGCATGGCCTATGTGGAACGGATGAACTATGTCCACCGGGACCTCCGTGCTGCCAACATCTTGGTTGGAGAGAACCTTGTGTGCAAAGTGGCTGACTTCGGGCTGGCTCGGCTCATCGAGGACAACGAGTACACAGCCCGACAAGGTGCGCAGGGTCTGGGTTGGGGCCATCTGGCCTTCTCTGAGCCTGTTTCTGCGTCTGTCCAGCAGGGGATGGAAGTGGTATCTCCTGGCAGTGCTGTCCTGAGGTTCTCCTGAGCCTCCCCTGACCTTTCTCCCTCCTGCAGGTGCCAAATTCCCCATCAAGTGGACGGCTCCAGAAGCGGCCCTCTACGGCCGGTTCACCATCAAGTCAGATGTGTGGTCCTTTGGGATCCTGCTGACGGAGCTCACGACAAAGGGACGGGTGCCCTACCCTGGTAAGAGGGCTCCCCGTGCCCTATCTTTGATCCCTGAATCCTCTCTGCCCTGGTGACCTAGGGCAAGCCATACCCTTTCCCAGGCCTCTTTCCCCATCTGTATAACAAAGAGGTTGAGCATCTGATCTTAGGAGCTCTCTGGTTGGGGCTCTCAGCCTTGGGGAGGGGAGTTACCCATGGTCACCCTCCCCCATCCTGGGCGAGAGGCCCTCTCGGTTGTCCTCATCCTCCTCCCCCCACCCGACTTTCCTCACTGGAGCCCGTCCCCTCACGCCTCCCCCCTCCCACAGGGATGGTCAACCGAGAGGTGCTGGACCAGGTGGAGCGGGGCTACCGGATGCCCTGCCCACCTGAATGTCCCGAGTCCCTGCACGACCTCATGTGCCAGTGCTGGCGGAAAGAGCCAGAGGAACGGCCCACCTTCGAGTACCTGCAGGCCTTCCTGGAGGACTACTTCACATCCACGGAGCCCCAGTACCAGCCCGGAGAGAACCTATAGGGGGGAGGCTGCAGGGCCAGACGGGCTTTTTGGCTTGGATCCTGGGCTGGGGGGCCCCTGATGTCAGGTCTTGCCTCCCTCTGCCTGCCCACGTTGATCCCCTCTGTGGGGCTGACTCGCCAGTGATGAGGCCCCTCCCTCTTTTGTGGCACAGAAGGGTTTGGGGCCCGGGGCAGCCCTGGGTACAGGGTCCAAGGCTGGCATGGTGACTGCGTCCAGACTCCTGCTCCAGCCACCTGCATCCTCCCAGCCTTCCCTCATGGGGCTCTGTGCAGCTCAGCGGGAGGAAGTGGGGAGAAGGACAGGCTGAGGACACCATTCCCCAGCCTCAGGCTGCTCCTTGCGTTGGCCCCTTCCCACTTCCATGTGTCCCCAGGTCTGCCTCCAGAGCTGGCCGAAGAACCTTTCCAAAGAGGAGAGGCAGGCCCAGGCCCTCGGCCTGCCTGCCACCCTGCCCCTTGCCGTCCATTTCAGAAACACCTATTGGTGGAAGCTGCTGGGTCCAGACTCCTCTGCCGTGGCTCCCAGGCTGGGCAACTGAAGTGTAGCTTGGCTTCATGCTGGTGGGGAGCGTAGGCACCCCCCCTTGAGTCCTGTTCTTAGACCCGAGGGACCCTTAGAGATCACCAATTCCTTGTCCTCACAGTACCCATGGGGAGACAGTCCAGAGAGGGGATGTGATTTGCCCAAAACCACAGAGCAGTTCAGGGTTGAGGTGGGTTCGGAACCCGGTGCTCCCTCTGTCTTCCTCAGGAACCAACAAGATTGTTCTTGGAGGTGTCATGGACAGACTGGGGCAGCCCAGGGGACCAGGGGCCCAAGGCTGCTGCCACCACCCGCCTAGCAGGCCTGTTGTGCAGGGACAGAGAGGAGGCAGACGGAGGGTGGAGCTAGGAATGAGGGCTGTCGAGGCAGGAGTCAGATAGCAGATGTCAATCAGACTGTGGGTGGATTTTCATCCTTGGAGCTAGCCAGCCATGAAAGAGAGTGAGCTCCCGGGCTCTGGAGGCAATCAAACAGAAATAGAAGATCCAAGTGGTTGGGAGGCCGTGGCCTCAGGAGAGAACCCCTAGTCTTCCTTCCCCCAGTGTGTCCTGTGTCATTTCAATGCCTGGCGCCTGCTCTCCTCCCTAAGGGGGGCACCCCATAACTCATGAGTAGGGAAAGGAGTACCTAATGAGAGGGTGAGCATCTGCTGCCAGGCCCCAGACCTGGCTGTGGGACTGTGGGTGGCCCCTGCATCCTCTTTGGGCTGCAGTGTCTGTCTTCCTGGGAGGCTGTGGGCCTTGCACCTGCTTTGCTCTGTGGCCTGGCATCAGCTGGTGAGCCCAGCCAGGGGCGTCCAGAGGCGCACTGGCCCTCGCTTTGGTGTTTGGCCTTGGAGTATGTGGTGGCTTCTCCTTGGGCCTCAGTGTGCCCATCTTAAAATTGGTGGCTGACGGTTTGTGGGCCTGCTGCCCAGGGCTCCTACGTATGTGTATGTGTGTTGTGTGTGTGCACGTGTGTGTTCCTCCATATGTGTCCATATTTAACATGTAAAAACGTTCCCCTGCTCTGTTTCCCTGGACATGTTGTGCCTCTCCCCCCACAAAGCCCCCCACCATAGCAATAACACCCCTGCTGCTGGGGGTTCTCGAGCCAGGCGGGCCCCACCAGCAGGGAAGGAGGCCACGTGGGGCCTGCCCATGAAATTTCAACTTTTCCTTTCATCCATGTTTATGACGCAAGTCTGCTGTCTGTCCCGGTCAAATCTGGGCTCGCTTACCCCGGTGCGCTTTCAAGCCCACTTCCAGCTGCCCGGGGCCCTTTGTATAAGGTGTCCTAAAACTGTTCTTCTTCTTCTTCTTTTTTAAAAAATAAACAGTGTTTTGTAGATTTCAGATGACTATGCAGAGGCCTAGGGGACCCCCCCCCAGAGCTGGGTGGGGCCTGGGGGTCCCACATTTCACGGCCCAGGCTTGGTGGGGAGGGGGGATCCAGAATTGGTTGTAAATACTTTGCATATTGTCTGATTAAACACAAACAGACCTCAGAGTTTGACCAGTGGTTTATTGAGCATCTACCGTGTGCTTCAGAGTGAGCGGGGCGGGATGTGAGGTCTGATTGTGGTCAGAGGGGCCTTCGTTCAGGCCCCACTGGTGGCTAGAGGGCTCCAGGCCAGGGAGAGACACGATCAGGCTGGAGACACGATTCCAGATCTGGAATGTGGCTGCTGTGTGTAGGTATCTGCACCTAGCGGAAGGCTGGCTTTTGTGTGAGCCACGAAGCCAGGACTCCCAGAGCATGAGCAGTTTAGGTCGCAGATGCCCTGGGTGTGTGGTGGCAGTTAGCACCCTGGGGGCCTGGTGGGACGGTCGGGCCGGTGTGGGGTTGTGGGTGTGTTTAAGGGGTCATGTGTCTGGGTTTGCTGTGTGTTCCCGCAGAGTGCTGCGGTGGGGTGGGGCTGGAGCCACAAAATTCCTGGGCCCTCTAGAAAAATCCAAAGACCTTTCCTCTCCTCCCCTTTCTCCCCACCACAAAGGGACCCAACTGGGTAGTTCTGTGCAACAGCCTATAGGAAGAAATTTCTTTTACATCAGAGCACACATGCATCTGTGTGTCACCTCTGGCCATAATAATGGTCTAATTAAAAGCAAATTTCAAAATTCAGACATGTCTCTCTGCAGTAGGATTTTCACAAGCCGAATTCCCTGGTACCCAGGTCAGCACGGACACCCAGAGACACCATGGGTGTGTGCGCTCTTGGGACCATGGGAACATGGTTGTTGGTGGCTTGTGTCTTCTGCTTGCTCCTGGGAGTGTGTGCCTAGGACGTGTATGCCTTCATGTTCATGAGGTTGTGTGCGTGGGCCCGTTTATTCATGCGCGGCTGTGTGGGTGTGTGTGGGCATGTGTGCAGGTCTTCTGTGAGTCTGGGCTCCCAGGACTTTGTGTCTCGTGGTGTCAACCTTTTGTTCACATGGGTATGTGACTGGGAGATTGGGCATCTGTTTGCCCAGGGCTGTGTGTGTCTGTATGCACACCTGTCTGGGTGTCTGATAGCCTGCAGGCTCCTGGGGTGAGTGTAGACCTGGGTATCCATGGAGTACGAAGCCCATGTTTCTGTTTTCTCCAGTGGTGTGTGTATTTGTGTCTAACACAAATCCAGGAAATTGGTGCTTCAGCTCCGGGCTCCTGGGGCCTGGACCCCAAAGTGTACAGCTGGTTCTGTGGGCACGGAGGGCACACACCGCACTGGCCACTCCTGGGAGGGCTCATGTGTGCTGGGGCGGGCAGGGGCCGTGCTCAGGAAGGCGCCAGCAGGCCAGGGATGTGTCTCAGCCCCAATAGGGACAGGGACAAAGCACTCACCCCATATGGTAGGTGGAGAGGGCACCTGCACAGTGCTGGGGGGTGGTCAGGACCCCCCTCCAATTCCCAGGGTGTGGGGGAAGTCGGAGCCTCTTTTCTCTGCACCTCTCTATCTCGCTCTGCATTTCTCTGCTTGTGTCTCCCTCTGTGTCTCTCTCTGTCTCTCTCCATCTCTTTCCTCTGTCTGCCTCACCAGCTCTCTCTGGCTGTCTGGCCCTTGCTCTCAGTCTCAACACTTTTTTCTTTGTTTTTTTCTATTCCCTTCCCTACTCACCCCCTTCCCCCACTTCTCTATAGTTTCCAGTGCAGCTGTGTGTGCTTCTGATTTTCTATCTCTGTTTCTATATGTGTCTCTCCGTTTCGGGCCATTGCTGGTTTCTCTTCTTCTCTGTGCCTGGCCGCTGTCTATTTCTCCAGTTTCTCTGTGTCTCTGTCGCACAGATTTTCTTCCTTATCAATCTCTCCAGCTTCTGACTCTTCCTCAGGTGCTCCCACACCTCCATGCTTTTGCCCATGGAGAATGCCCTTTCTTTTCTCTCTGCAACCTGGCAAACTCCTATTCATCCTTCAAAACACATCTCAGAAGCCACAGACCACCTGCTGGAGCTATCCCCAACCCCCTGGACCTTGCAAGGGTTGTTGAACCAGTTCACGAAGCTCACTGACTAGAACAAGAGCTGAAGGACTGGGGAAATTCTAGCTGGTGCACCCAGATGGTCTCACATGGATGGTGTCCGGTCAGAGAAGGGTGGCAGGAAAGCCTCTCTCTCTCCCACCTCTGGTCTCTGGCTCCTTCTTTGATTTTGACTCCCTCCTCTGGGCCTCTGTCCAGTTTGCTTTTGCTCGACTTGTCGTGAGAGAGACAGAATGGAGAGGTGAGAGGTGTGCAGTCCCCTGGGACCACTGTCTCACAGCTCCGCTGCCTGTTCCTCCCACAGCACTGTCCAGATTCAAGACCACTCCAGGGGACTGGGGCCCCTGGTACCCCCTGTCCTCTCCACCTTCCCTTCCTGATTTCACTGTTTTTTCTCTTAAAAAAAATTAATGATCTGAGAGAGAGAGATTGAGAGAAGGAGAGGGAGAAGGGGCAGAGGGAAAAGACTCCCTGTGGAGCAGGAAGCCTGACATGGGACTCGATCCCAGGCCCCCGGGATCATGACCTGAGCTGAATGCAAATGCTTAACTGACTGAGCCCCCCAGGCACCTTCAGTGGTTTACCTCTTACTCTGCATACATTTTTTTCTTGGAGGAAAATTAGATATTTTCCCTCATGAAAAAAATAATATATAATCCTCATCACAAAGTAGGAAAGATACAGAGAAGCCCCCACAAAAACACCATAGTTGGTGCCCCCACCCCATCCCCTCCCACCTAGAGAGGGTGGGGCATGTGTCTGTGTGTGTGTCCATCGGGGTCTGTAATCTGTTCTCTGCCCATTGGCCCCCGTGTCCCCTTCTCTCTCTCAGAATGTGTCTGTCTGTCTGTGCTCTTCTGGCTTATGGTCACTGGCTCTTGCTGTGGGTTACTGGCCCATTCGGTCAGACATTCATGTGGAAAGCTCGGAGTGAAGATCTGTCCTGGGCCTGTGTGGCCGTGGCCCGTGCGGCCATGGCCCATGCGGAGATGTGAGCCCCTGCGCCCGCCTGTGTCTCTGTGGCAGGCCCTCTGTGCCGGATGTGTCTTTCTCAGCCCCTCCCTGCCTCTGCTCCCCGTGGTTTCACCAGCCTCCTTTCCACTGCTGCACTTCCAAAGCGTGCAGTGTGTGCGTGTATGTGTGGGGCTGCGGTGTGTGTGGGGCACGTGCACGTCCCTGCTCCCTGCTGCCTCCTGGCTGTGGCTCTCTTTCGTTCATCCTCTGCTCCTTTCATCTCCTCTCCACCTCCTGAAATTCTGACCAGACCCTGTGCTGAAGGCATGTGCACACACACACACACACACATGCACACACACACA